TGTTAGTGTCCTTGTATCTTTGTATTTTCTTCTTTCCTTTCTTGAAGTTCTTTGTGACTCTTGGAAGATAAGTGTGTTTGTCTTCCACTTGTAAATTTTCTACTGATGAATTAATGAAAGTGTTATTGATCAAAAAAAAAAAAAAAAAGACTTTCTAAATAGAGCTTAGCAGACTGTTGTGAAGTGGAGGGGAGCTAGGATTGATTAAAGGGTTTAAGTTGGAGGGTAACAGCAAACTGTTTCACATTTTTATGATGCAGATGACCTTTTAATCACTCTATAATCTTTAGTCAGTTAGACATTGTATTTAGGAACAGCTTTTAAGAGTTCCGTAGATGCTTTAGGATTGAAAATTAATTTGGGGACGTGTGGTGTTGCATGTTAGTGTTTAGAGTACAATGAACTGGAGGATGATGTGTGGTAACACTAGGAATGTGTTTTTGGGAAGCTTTGTTAATATTTTTGGTCCAACTGCTTTTTTAGGAAAAATACCTATTCAGGAACATCGGTAATTTGATTTGAAACTTCATTTTCAATGCACTACTGGTTTTGAATTGTTTAATTGTAGGCCCTCCAACAAGGGGTACATAGGGAACATATGTTTTGGTCCCAATTGTAATTTGGGTTGCTCCTGGTTTTATTAATAAATCCTTTCTTTACTGATGAAAAAAAAAAAAATTGTAGGCCCTCCAATATAATCACTGCTGCCATCATGTCTTTATGTGCAGCATACCTTGTTGTATCAATCTAATCTCTGCGTACTAGATGCAGATGCATTGGACACAGACCATACCCAATTGCATAGCCAAAGATGCAACGGTGCAACAAGTTTTGGCACAATTGAAGCTGCAAATTCAGGAGTATGGCTAACATAAAATGTCTTATCTTTAAGAAAAGGTCAACAATACCACAAAACTCAGTATAGTTGCATGAGTTGAGTTTCAGGTCTTCAAACTAGAATGAAAGTACTTGATTGCTTTGTAGTTTTTATTTTCGTGTTCTTATTGGAAACCTGAGTTAAGATGACAATATGATTATCCAAACATGTTGGAATACTTATCTAGCTTTCTTCTGCACAGAGGATAAAAGTTGCATTTTATCTCTCTTTAACAGTTCTGTTTTTTTTTTTGGAGTGGTGATAAGTTATGTTGCACACATTTTTCCTGTCTTGTATTGTTGGTAATAAAATAAATTTTTATTCAAAGAGAAAAAGAAGATACAAGAAAGGTGACTAAAAGTCACCTGAGAGAAGAAACCTTCACCAACCACAAATCCATTTTGTTCTAATGACTCCTATCTACTTATATTTTTATTTGTATATCATCATACAATATTTGAGTGATTTTTGTTGCAAGGGGAACAGTGAAAATGATTTGAGGGCACATAGCTTTATAGTGGAAATTGTCCTTGATAGAGTGGAATCAAAAACAAGATTTGAGTAGTGGCTGTAGCCAACCACCTTATAGTTGGCATGAGGTTTCATTGAGTTGAATTTAGTGCCTGTTTGGAGGGTTTGAAGCATTGGTTGAGCTGCTTTGGAGAAACCACTAAAAGAAGCTTCAATGGAAAACCATGCTTTTGGCTTTTGGGCAGTCATTTTCGGCTCTCCAGGTTTGCACCAGACATAGCTTATAGGCTGTCCTGGTGAGGCCTACCTTGCAAAGCCAGAAGCCGATGCATGAAAGCCCTCCCAAATGGGCACTTAGTTGAAATGTTTCCATTTGATTTTTTTTTTTTCTTATTTTGAGTTACCTGTAATTTTCTAAGCTTTGCTTCCATTATGGGTGTTGCTTAAGATTACAAATAACCGCATTTTTTTTAATTTGTAACACTTGTGCAAACAGAAGTGAATAATTGTCAGCATCTCTAAGCATTTTTTATCTGTGAAGTTTTTTGCACTCTTGATTTGTTGATCTCATTAGCACTTGTAATTTGGCTATGGTCTTTCATTAAAATTCTATCTGTCTGTTTTGACCATGCACTATAGAATTAGTCATGCATCAAGATAACCTTTTTCTACCTATTTGTTGTTAAGGATATATGATACATTTTCGTAAACATATTTATATTTATATGATGATAGTTTTGCTTTGTTATATTTTGTTTTTTTCTTTTTCTTTTTTTTTTTTGTGGATATAGGATAGCTGAATCAATTGGAGAGATTCTGAAGGGGTTACGTTGTTACTTCGACAAAGCATTACCTGTGTTGCTCTTGTACAAAAAAGAGCGCCAACAATATCATGAAGCAGTTGTAGATAACACATCACCTTCTACTGTATATGGTGCTGAACATCTTCTGCGACTCTTTGGTATATTCAACAATTCCCAACGTAGATTAGTTTTTTATCAAATGAAATTAGAATTTTGTTAATGATCAAGAGAAAAGATATGTATAACAGCAAACCCTGAGGTAGGCTGGCCATGTCACCTATCCCTTCACCTTTCATCTTAAATACATTTTATAATCATGCCCAATATAACCGGTTCCTATTCATTCAGACCTCTGGATCTATATCTAAAGGCTGCCTCCAATTCTATTTCAAGGAATTTGATTTCTCGTCACATGTGTCTATGCCTCCATGGTCCTGGAGGCGTTTGATAAATCTGGAGTCTGATGTCTGAAAAGTCAAAAAGCTATGATTTGGGTTTGAAATCTGAAAAGAAGTAGAAATGATTTTCTGCTTTTTAAAGGCTCTAAAAAGATAAGATCATTTAAGTTGGAGCAATTCTCCAACATCTGAAACTGTGAAGTTTATTATTTTACCCTTATAAAGTGATTGATAATATTATAAATAATGAAAATAATTTTAAAAAGTATATTAAATAAAATGGTATTCTATTAATAAACAAATATTATGATTTGTTGAAATAATTAATAACAGATAATAACATTTTAATTATTAATAAACATATTATTAAATAGGGAAAATCTATGATGCGGAAAAGATATGATATGGAAAGAGTTTTGACCAATCAAAACTCACCCATGAATTTTGATAAATAACACCTTATTTGCTCCGACGTTTTCTGATTTCAGTTTATTGGTCAGTTATTTTTCCATATCATAGTCGAACCCTATTAAATATTCTTATTACTATAAATATTAATAAACATTATTATTATTATTCAATACTAATAATAATATTATTGTTATTAAATAAATATATTTCGAACTGTTATTATTTATTCAAGTAAAAGATAATATTATTATTATTCTTAAATCGATGACAATAATGAGGTCATTAACATCATTTTATCCTGTCTGAAATGCGTCTGATGTTGTTTGCTGTTCTACAAGGGCTGAGAACGGTAATATTACTCAATTTGGCCTAATAGAGAGTCACCTTGACATTTTGATCCTGAATGCAAAGCTATTATGTTTCCATACTCATTTCAAAAGACTCCATTGCCCAATGGCCCCAGATTACCTATGCTGCAGCCATCAACATTCAGTTTATACAACCAATGCAGATAGTGTTATATGGATACCCAAGTGACTTGTTTTATCCCCTGAACTACTCACTAACTGTTATATGCACATGCATGTATGTTTAATATAGTTTTCATGTAGATGTTCTATTCCCTCTGTTTATATCGCACCTTTTCTAATGCATGATTAATAGAGCATCTCATTTAACTTCTTTACTTGCTTAATCTTGTACATACACTATGCCCTATTACAATGACAATGGCTTCTGCTATCTCTCTAAATCGAAAAAATAATTTATTTCCTTTTTGTGACCATTGTAATAACCAAGAAAGAAACGGAAATCCTTCACGTTTCAAAGTTATTTAAAGACGCCCCCCCCCCCCCCCCCCCAAGTTTTTCACCATCCTTGTATCAGGCAAATAGAGAGGTTCCCGGTAGAAACTTTAATTTTTTCAGCATTGGAATAATTTGTGGATCCTCCTCACATCCTAAAGAGGAAGATTCTTAGTTGGAAGCTAGGTCTGTACATGACATCTAGCCCCAAAGAAAGCAAAAGGTAAGATTCAATCCCATACAGCTGTAAAAGCCTAACTTAAGCAAAAAACAAATTTTACAAGCTTAGTTCCACAATATAGGTGCATGAAAGTAGCTTAAAAATGATTGGTTAACCAGGCAAATTGGTGAAATGGGTGTTCCTAAAGCCTGAAGTGCAAAGAAAAAAGTGCACAGCTGAACAATACAAGGCATCATTTTTGAAAAAGAAACAAAAGAAAAATTAATATTTATACTAGTTTAAATTCTGAAAGAAAGAGAGAAATAATTGATCAAAAAAATCTGAAAGAAATAAAATATTCAGTAGTCTATTAGATCAACTGTTTCAGAGTATCGTGTTATTTATACAATGGTCGTACCCTAGTACATTGAAGTCCAACATAAGCACTTTTTAAACTGTAAACGTCATAGATACACCCTATAATGTAGTATATATTCAACATCAAACTCAAGGTCAATTCACCAAAACATAGCAACAAGCCAGGTTAGTCAGACTACTTAAAATAAGCCTCACCCTAAAGCCTATCCAAGGTGTAACCTTTAAAAAACTTATAAGTTAGACATTCAAGATGGCATTTGTTTGAATATCCACATCTTAGTTTTATTCAGCATCCATGGTATTCCACAAAAACTTCCCTTTTATGCTGATAATTTTCAAGGTTTGGTAATGTTCAACTAGATTTTGATTTTTACAGTAAAGTTGCCTGAATTGTTGGCCTATGCAAGCATTGAGGAGGAGACAATGACGCGGTTGCAGCAGAAATTGCTTGATTTTCTCAAGTATATCCCTCTCTTTTTTCTCCTCTTTTTCCTTTTTTTTTTTACGTGAAGATACTTTAGGAAGAATCTGATGTTAATTTAGGTAGTTTTCTCTGATTAGTAGGGTTATGTTTTTCAAAACGAAGTCAACTGCCTCACCGGCAAAAACAATATTGGTTTTGCTGGCGAGGCAGTTGTTTTTTATCCTGAATAACAAAATAAAATATAGCGCTTAGTTCTTTGACTTGTTTTGTGCTTCTGCAAACAAACAAGTTTCAACTAGTTTTTCCATCTTTAACAAAACCATATTTGTCATACAGATTCCTGCAAAAGAATCAAAGTGCCTTCTTTCTTTCTACTTACGATGGCCCAAAAGGTATTGAAGGAAGTGGAGAACAAAATGACTGACTCAGCATGACAACATAGTCGACTGTGTACCAATACTACCATCGAACTGCAAAAGGCATAAATAGAGAGATCTCATTAATATGTCTGCATATTTCTCTTAGGACTTCGAGCTCTCTGGGAAGATGGTTCATTTGTTGTTGATGAAGCAGCCAAGTTTAGTGTATTCTATCAGCGATAATTGTTGTATTTGTACATGTTTGGACTTTCTCGTCAAGGTCCTCTTTTTTCTGTAATTGTTGTAATTTTGGGAGTTTCTGGTCAAGTTATGGATGAGGTCTTTTGCAGTTTATAGTTGCCTGAGATTTTAAAATACGTTGTTAAAGTTTTTCAGTTGCATGAACCCAAGACAACTGCATGTTGGATATATTTTGATTCGGCAAAACCACATGGATAGCGTTTCGAAGCCAGGCATAGGGATCATTCTTGAAATTGAGTCAGTTTATACGTCCAATGCTATACAGCAACATGTACGGTGTCTGAAACTCATTGCTCATGTAGTGGCTCTTCCTTGCTCGTCAAATAAATTAACGAAGTGACGAAGCTGAATCGGGATCCACTCTTAATTCTTGAGGCTTCTTGAAAAGTTGAGATTGGAAGGGGGGGTTGATAACAGCTGAAGTAATCTTATTGTGTTACTTATGTTTTGCCATTTAGCAGATAAAACGGTCATATAATATAATCAAGGTTCAAAGTATCGACACGTATTAGCTGATACGTATTTCAGGACCCCTCCGATATGCCCCTACAATGGGTGTATCGGGAGTCTGACTGGTTCAGGGGGTGGTGATGTAAATTGGCCCCCCTGAATCGGTTGTGAAAAAAATTTAAAAAAAGTACAAAAATGCAGTATCAGTTCGCCCAGTATGCCCCTACCAGCGTATTGGGCATATTGATATTTTGAACTTTGAATATAATAGCATCATGTTAATGCCAATCTAATATATATATATTGATGACTTGATGTGGCATGGTTTAACCCATTTGACCCAAACAATCGAACTGGTGATCCACAACCCAGAGGCAAAAGTGGTCCAGCCTCCGGGTCAGTTTATAAAGCATTGTTGGGAACATCTACTTTCCTTGTATGTTGTCTTTAATGGGGAGATGTTTCTAATGCATGATTGCAATTATGAGGTTGGTGTGAGGAATACTATGTGAGTAAACTGTGTCCCATATTATCATGGTTTTGAAAATCAGATCAGACCTTGAGCCAGTTAACCCAGGAATCATCATAGCTCCAGGTCCGGCTTTGGACCCCAAAACCATCTGACTGGGGTTCAGTCCAGACGGTTGGACCATTTGACCTGGTAACCACTAAGCAGTGCCAAAGCGACTCCATTTTCAAATCAGTTTTTGAAACAATGCATACTATAACAAGTAAATATGAGTTTGTCTCCTATATCAATCTCGGATTCTAAGGGCAACATTGCAACCCGAATACCGATCAGCATTACCTGCTTAACGATGGAAATCACATCCCTAAAGAAACTGTTAAATCCTTATTGTGTGCATCAATAACAAAATTACAGTTGATAGAGACGGTGAAAAGTTTATTAGAACATGACAGAATGAAAGCCAAACTTCTACTTTGCTGATACGTGAATTAACTTTGCTGCTCAAAGTAGAAAAATATGCAATTTCATTTTGTTGTGTCAATTTTGACAGTCACAAAACTCACAATCACGGACAGTACTCGGAAGAGTATCCCACTTCTCACCGATTAATGAGTATCTCTTCAAATCATCGGATGAAAAACGAGCATCAGGGTCTAACAGAAGTGACATCCGCCATTGGAAGAATGAGAACGTGTTTTTTGAGTTTATGGCATGCACTTACGACTTGTGAGGTTCGTTGGCTCTACAACTCACAACTGCAAGCTCCTACGCTGCGCCCCGTTGAATGAAGATGTTTATTCATGGCTATATCCCTGCGCACTTCCATATTTCTAGAAAATTTTCCAGTTATGCTCTGGATATCTTTATTCGAATTTCTGCTTCAGCATGCTTTACGCGGGTAGAGACTCCAATATAAGAAAAAGGTTCATTTGATTTTTGTTGGAAGACATGCAATTTGAAGTTGTCTAGATCCGATTTTCATTTGATTTACAGAGCAACGAAAAAGTAATGTCAATAGCCGTTCAACAATATAAAGATACTTGCATTTTGCCACAGAAAAACTGGCAATCATTGAGATCTCTCCAGCAAGAGAGATATTTGATGGCACCTGAAACTTACGTGTTCATACTTTCTTCCGTTCTCAGATTTAGTTCAGAGCTAGCTCGACTTAGAAATGAAGACAGCATGCAAATATCAAAACTCGAGAAGAGTTACTTCGACCAGGCCTAATGCGTTCTCTTCCCCAAAAACGATTTGCAGCATCCTGACTTGTTCTGCACCTCTTCCCCAAAAACAATAGCTCCACACGAAAGGTAAAACGAATAACTGTTATACAATTTAGGCAACCCTGTCCTATAAGAAGCTAAGTAATAAAGCATTTGTTGAAGCTGTCTTCATGCCAGTCTTGAATTAGTGTGTCACCTTGCACCATGTGCTCCAGGCAATGTTAAGCCTCAAGCAAATCAAAGCCACTAACTGAAGTAAATATTCATAACATATCTTGTAGGGTTGAAGCCACTCAGAATCACTGCAAAGCAAGAGTAACAAATTAATTCCCTGCAGTCATGCCTCCATCAGAAGTATATTTATCAAATATCATATACACTTACATAGAGGAGAAATGATGAAGACGAGACCAATAGGATACAAGAAGAAGGTGGTCTTATCCAAAAAGGGCAGCACTGTAAGCAATTTCATCCAATAAAGAACATAGTTAAAATATTACTCATGAAATCTGAAAACCAGAATTCAAATTTTTTCAATGTTGAACACTCGAAAGAAAAAAAAAAAAAGGAATATTTGAGGAAAGGAAGACTACCCTCTGCATCAATTACACATGCCACATGCCAGTCAAGATCCAAAATCCAGTGTGGTTTTCCAATTATATCTGAGAACCAAAACTCTAGGAACAGGATATTCCAAAACCTTTAATGACCTTTCTGACAGCTTTTCATTAAATCAAAAGATTTGGAGTATCTACCGAGTTTTTTGGACTATGATCTACTTGACTGACTCATGGTACTGATATGAAGCATGCAACACCTAAGTGTGCCATGTGTAGCAGATACAGGTAAATAGTTGCTTCCACCCCCATATTCTCATCCATATACGGAAGTATAAAAAGGAAAATAGTGACTTTAAGTTTACCATCATATCCTAAAAAGTTGAGGTAATGATAATAGGAGATGGCCACCATGAAAACCAAATTTGATAGCAACAGCGGAATGAAACCATGTGCCACCAATAGAGGTGACAGAAAATAATGAATCACTAGCAAAACCAGAAAGATATATCAGTAAATCTTGATGCCATGTAATAAAAGTCAATTATATTAGCAGCATTCCAAGGTAAGTATAAAAATTACCATATAGCATGATGAACAGTGGAAAGAAAGAGTTGCAGTGCACATCAAATGCATACAGCCTTCATTCCGTTTTGGGGAGGGGATCAGCAAAGAGAAATCAATGTTAAACTCAGTTCATTAGCAAATATAAATGTATCCTTTTTCACATAAAAATCAAATGTAGGCAGATAAAACTAAATGGACCAATATGTGCTTAATTTGCTTCATCATGTTTTCTGATCCTTATCAGCCAGGTTTCAACAATGTCACTTTCATATCTGAGATTGTATCAGGGCCACTGATGACCCTAAGAGAATAATTACTTAAATAAACAAGGCAAATAAATTCTGTATCTTGTGGAGCATTAATTGAGCTCCCATAACTAGTATGTTTTCTGATTGAGAAATAAAGTCAAAGTTTCATGACTTGCCATTCAACCCGTTGTTCAACCACATGGCTGTTTGGAGCCTCTTCACGAAGATAAGAATTTGTGAGAAACCTGCAAGATAATAGGCATGCAATCCATCCATCCTTGAGTACAGTTATGCATTAACAATAAGTCAAGAATTAAACCAATATATGCAGATAGATAACCATGACAAAGGAGAGTCGACTGATGTAATTTATTTTGTGTTGACCATTGAGTAATATTAAACATTAAGCAAGTATATTATACTCTATTTTTAGATTTTGAGGCTTACCAGCAACATGTAGCCAGAACTACTCCAGTTACCAAGAAATGAAAAATCAATACTGAAATAACAGTAAAAATAGCATGTGCCATACTGTGATCATATCTGAAATGAATAAAAAGCAAAACAAAAATTAGAGTTGATATGACAGAGCAATGCATATTTTATGGGAAAGAAAGCAATTTTGTAAAATCTAAAATAAACCCTAGAGGTAACCCAATTTTGACGGAAAGAATTTGGCCATGAAATGTGAACTGGTGAAATGGGTTTTGTCCATAACTTAACATCCTATTAGTTTATGATCATTATCTAAGCCTTGTCCCAAATCCACCATTGTGAGCTTGTCCTACGTTGCCGGTCCCAAGCCCAGATAAGGGAGGGTTGTGTCAGGTTGGCAGTGATATAATAGTTTCTCGTTTCCCAGGAAACACATTTGAAAAGAGAAAGTTATTTATTATGGAAATATTTTGCAAAACAATTTGGACATCATGTTAATAAAAAACAAACACAATGATAAATGGGAAATGATCCAACAAATTGGAAGCAATGCACAAAGTGAAAATGATGTGGCAAGCAATGTAAAGATGTGATACATCATCAACAAAATGGCATTCAAAAATAACTACAAAAAAAAAAACAGAAAAAAGTGATTTGAAAAAGAAATAAAAAGAACAATAATAATTATAAAAATGGAAAAGAGGATAAGTAACAAATAAAGCTTTAGTTTCAAAGGAACTGAGAAAGGAAATTTTTGTTCTTTCATAATTTATCAGAAAAAAAAAATGTTCTTTTATATAAAAAGGAGGAAACCAGTATGGTGAGTGGGGAACAATAGAAATGTATGGCCTTTATTGAAAAATGTGAAGTAAAATAAATATGATTAAAAATGGGCTAAAAGTACACACATTAATGATCTAAACAGGTTACCTCTTAAATAAAAAATTATACTTGTCACTTCATCAATTACTAAAAGGGAAAATTCCCGATTAGTACCCTGTACTTTGGGTCTGGTGACATTTTGGTCCCAGAACTTTAAAATGCGACAATTCAATACCTGAACTTTCAAAACGTGTCAATCAAGTACCTACCATTAAGTGTCATTTGAAAAAGACACAAATGCCCTTCGAGTGTCATCTAATTTTCTTGATCAACCATCCAAATGTTAACAAAAATTTAACAATCCCAAATCCTTGCTTCTTTTATTCAAGAATGTTGAGGTCACCAGAATGGCCACTAAGACTTGACCCCAACTTTCTTGAATAGAAGAGGCAAGGATTTGGGACTGTTAATTTTTTGTCAACGTTTGGATGGTTGATAAAGAAAATTAGATGACACTTGAAGGGCATTTGTGTCTTTTTCAAATACCACTTAACGGTTGGTTAATGGTAGGTACTGGACTGACATATTTTGAGAGTTCAGGTACTGAATTGTCACATTTTAAAGTTTGGGGACCAAAGTGACACTAGACCCAAAGTACAGGGTACTAATCGGGAATTTTCCCTTACTAAAAATAATATCAATGTGCAAAGACTCATTTACTTCTTTTATCATTTTGTGATCTCAGAAAAATAAACAAGATTTTATAAACAATAAGTGAAAAATATGTACTTTTATGATGAAGATCCATGAGAAGCAAGCATATGAGAAACTTACGCAGCACAATAAGCCGAAGTTGCAACTACTAAAAGGAGACTGCAGATTACAACAAAAGCAGGATCATCTCGTGCCCATTGGTTTTTTGTTTCTGAAACAAAAAATAAGACCAAATTCTAACTCAGCTATTTACCATAAGAATGAAAGAAAGTTCCTGTGCTTTTGCAATTGTTGCATAAACATCAGGAAACAGGACTTGGAGAAATCTCAATTCTCAAGTAGCAACTTTAACTGAAATAGGTTTAGAATATTATATATGCAACCTCTCTACATGCCAATTGCCCAGACAAAGGAGAAAAAATCTTGTAGTTGTAGGTATGAGAAGAAAACAACAAAAGAATATTTGAACAACATGTTCCTTCATATTGCCACCATTGTGACAACTGCCAACAAATAAGATGTGTCTAATCAGCTTTGAACTTAAAGGAATCAAAAAAAAAAAAAATCAGCTTTTAACTTCTACCATGTCCAAGGAATTGATGATGGAAATTCCAAGGAAGAAAGGGGTCATACCCTTATTACCAAGATATTATGGCTACAGGGACTACTGCAGAGGGAGATGAGGTAAAGTTAAAGTTTTCATAGATGTTCATTGGGATATCTGGGTAACTCTGAGAAAGTAACACCCTCACAAATATGAGTAGTAAATTATTCGCATATCAAGATCAATCATGAAATAAGATTCTAATAAAGTGAAAATTTCAGTTTTCCTTCATGAGTGACAAAGGAAAAAAGTAAAATATCCCAATTAAGAGTAAATTCTCACTTGTGAAGGTGTTCCCCTCACTCCCACCCTCAAGCTAAGGCTTTTATGTGGCTGCCCTTTCTGGACAAGGTGCTCGCTAATAATCATCTCAGGGATGTAGATTAATTTTTGTTCTGATGTGTACAAGTCCAAGAAAAACCAATGAATCACTTTTATCTTTCATTTGGGGAGTCTTCTGCTTGTTGTTTCATATTTCTTGGTCCTACCCCCATTCTATGATGGAAATGATTCTTTCTTGGCCTTGCTTTCAGTGGGATCTGGGGGTTCCATTATTTGGATTTTGGTCCCTTTTGTTTTTTTTTTTGGGGGGGCTATTTGGAAAGAAAGAAACCGAAGGATCTTTGACAACATGGAGACACCTTTGGCATGTCTTTGTTCCAATGTGGGAGGTTTCTTGGTAGATAGGTCATAGGTCTCTAGCTCTCAATGAATTCAAAGGTCTTAAGAGTAAGGGATGTTGTCATATAATTAGGGATGCAACTTGGGTGGGACTGGTTTGAACATTTGTTAAAATTTATAAAGGGCCAGAGCTCAATGTGCTGCAAATTCTTCAAATAAGGTAACCAAATGTACCCCTATTTATAATCAGTATGATGTCTTGGGTGTAGAGGGAGGTACACTGTAAAGAGTCTTCTGTCTTTGGGGCCACTTTAGTACTATAATATCATACACACATACATTAATAATTTTTCTTTTCTGATTAGTAATTAGAGAACAAAGGTTATCTGTAAGATAAGTTACGGTAGATGGGGGCTTATGTTAATGGTAATTAAATGCAGTTTTGGACGTATGAATTCTACATTGCTGAAGAGATTCAAGAACCAGCCAACTCCGTGAATATTTTGTTGTTTCAAGAGTGCAGGTAAGAATATAGTTTCGTATTGTGTAAAAATCTTCTCACATGATTTGTTGGGTCTATATCTCCATTCCTCCCCGACTTCTCTTCATACTTCCACTTGTCAATCTTTTTTCAATAAAAGTACTCCAAGATGATGAAAATATAACTTGAAGAACATTAAAAATAATTTGATCAACAACTGAAATTTTCATTAATAAAAAGAGACAAATTACAAAGGAGCAGAGATAAAATCTCTCAACTCTCCACAAACACTAAAGTTAAGTTACAGTTGAGCCCAAGATACAACTGATTTCATTAAAAATTATTTTAATTTGCTTGATGAACAAAATATATCAAATCAAGTCTGATGCAAGATATAAATGTTACTTGCAAAAGTCTAAAACCTGAACTAAATAAATAATAAAACAGGTTTGGTCTGAAATTTTGACAGAAACTGTAAGGAACTCTAACAAGAGAGATGCTGAAAACGGAAAAAGAAATCAAAATAGCAAAACTATAAAATATTGTTTAAGTGGTTTTTTTATCATTAACAATGACCAATGTGAAATGGGGGGGGGACAAAACTAAACAAACACACAAGAAAGCCCCTAGCACCGATACAAGAAGTCTCTCTACACCCTCTAGGCAGATCTCCAGATCTAGCAGAATACGTGCTTTAGCCTCAAAGACAGGGATCTTGCCTCTATGATAAGGTGACTCAACCTCAAAGGAGCCAGTCATCAACTAATAACAATCTAGTAATTACCCTCTACCATGAAGCACACAAAACCCATTGAAAAGCCAATATAACCCTGAAGGGAGAAGAAAGTCCACTGGAGCTGAATTCCCCTCTTCAATAGGACCAGAGTGCACAAGGATAACTTCACCTCCACTACCTCTGAATATATCTCCCATCTCAAATAAGCAGATAGATCCAGCCTACAAGGGAACATCCATCTGAGCATGATGGCTTACTGTGCCTTTTCATTTAAAGAAAAGGACAACAGCCTGTATCCATATATGAATTTCAATATCATTGCTGCACTGCTCTGGGGGTTACTGTGTGTCTTTAATTACAACTGCAACCAATTGTACAGTCCAACCATAATTTTATGAGAAGAATGTATTCTCAAATCAATAACGCATATAAAAATGTATACAACTACAACCAAAACCACACAGCAGAAGAAGAATATGCTAGTAAAATGCACCAAATATCATAATAGGAAGATACCACTTAAAGCTTCAGAACATCAACCAGATCATTGACAACATTATAGCAAATAGAAAATGCATAAAAGGTGACTTACGCTTGTGGTACTTAGTGTGCTGATAGCTGTATCATGCTCCATTTTTCAGTTCCACATGCAAAAGACAGAAAATATTTAGATAACTTTCAACAATATTTGCATATTCTCTTAAAAAGACATTTAGGTACTATATGAAATCCATATTCTGGTGAGACAACACAATTTCACTTGCCTGCATTCTTCAAAATGCCATTAGCCTATATTTGCTACATGGAATGACAATTGGTCTTCTAGGTATATTTTATGTTAGAAACTTAGAAAAGAATTAAAATCTATAATAAATGTTTAAGTAAATTCTTCCCTTTTTCCAGGGAGGGTTGTTTTTAATCTTATGCTATTTAAATAATCAATGCCAGTAAAAACTTTATCATAGGTTGTATCAGAGTGGTGCATTGGATGAAAACTTTGGATCTCCTTTTTTTTTTTTTGATAAATGATAGCATTTTATTAATAAAGAGGGATTACATCAAGATTTAGAAGACAAACTATCCCAATAGGGACGCGAGGTGTGACCCAAATTACAACCGAGCCAAGAACAGTTCAGACTTAAACACTCCCATCTTCGCAAAATAATCAGCCATTCCATTTGCAGACCGCCTTTCCCATTTCACAAGAACAGTCATGTCTCTAACTAGCCATTTGAACTTTTTCATAGACTCGTTGTACTTCCAACTCACTGTTTCTGGTTCCTTCAGCCACCCTATTATCAACTTTGGATCTCTTTTCCACCATTCTCTTTGGAAAACATCTATAGAGGGTTGGAGTTGATAGTCTCTTCATCTTCTTCTAGATTTTTTTTTTTTTATCAATCTTCATCTTCTTCTAGATGCCAAGTGATAATGCGATAAAATGAACTTTGACAGATGCAGCATTGGTAATCCTGGGCTTTCAGGTATAGGAGCTTTTAGAGATCAGAATTGTGTCACTCTTGTGATTTATTTGGGACCAATCAGATAATGAAGACTCTCTGAGGGATACAATGCCAACAGTATTACAGGCTTGAGACTGGGAGAGCAATAAATTTAAGGAATATAATAGTGGAAGGAGACACAGAGGAGGTGATCTCTTGGTTGAAAGGTTGCACTCAAGGACGATGCCAATACCAGAACACTACGAGGGAAGTTACTTGGACAAGGAATTAAATGCAAGCTTTCCATGGGTACAAAGATGAACAAATGCTTTGGATGATTCTTTGGCTAAGCAAGGGATGAAAAAGGGAAATTTATTTTTGGAACAAGTGTAATTGTATTTGATGAATTCATGGGTAGGTGTCATGTTGCCAGCCTATAATCGGTGATGTAAGGCATTTTCCACCTGTTTCATTCTTTTAATGATCTAATAAAGCTTAGCAGTTACCAATAAAAAGCGGGTAATAAACTAACTGGCTATCACAGGATGCCACTTAGACTATGTTTTGTTTGACAGAAAAAATAGGGAAACAGAAAGTTAAGGGAAAGTTCTTAAAGAATTGTTTGAAATTTCTTAAGAACTTTCCCTCTGATTTTCTGTTTCTCACTTATTTTCTATCAAAGCCAAAGCAGCCTTAAAGTCTCATGCATTTAATTTTGGGATTGGGAAGTTTAAAATTGATGTAGAAGAAATAACTTCAGACCATTATTGGAAACTTGGGACTCAGGTCTGCCTTATCCAGCCTTCAAAAAGATGACTCAACTAATGAACCTCGCCAGTTACAGCAACTGAAAGTTTTTGATCAAGTAACCAGGTAAAATCTAATATATATCTTGCATGTAAATGTATATTCGCCTCAATGTGATTCTGAACATCAAATATCAAACACTATTTCCATGACAAGAAGAGTTGGAAGCTAAGCACTAATATATTACTCATGTCTTTGCTTTTTTAACTTTATGAAAATATCTTTTAGTTGAGCACATACACACATAGAAGGAAGTAGATGCAAGGAAAAATGAAAGTTTTTAGTTTGGATTAATTACTTATAGATACCCTGCAGCTTCACGGAACTACTTAAATATACCCTGTTGTTTCCAAAACAACTTAAATATACCCTGTCAAGTGGCCCCACTTGACACAAATAGGCCCTCCATTAATGAAACGTTTTGGGCTGTTTGCCCTTTGCCTTTTTGATGCTCAAAAGTGCCCTTGCCCATTTCTCAAATTTTCAAAACATGCCTTTTGACTTCTAGCACCTATACAACTAAGGTAGTATATGACAACCTTGGCCAATGAAATATATGATCCTCAATCTCAAATGTTCATTCAGTGGAACCCTGAAATTTCAATCAAATGATGTGCATAAAAAGTGAATCTTCTGATTAGGACCCATGGGTTGAATATGTCAGATTGACAAAGAATACTGACATCTTGTAGAAATGGACAAGAGTTATCTGGATTTAGGGTTAAATGGATCTTTTTCTAAAAACTTTTTTTCTTTTTTGGAGGGAAATCGGGAAAACTGCTTGCTACCTAGTGCTAGTGTATGGTGGGTCACCACTTTGCACCACAGATGAGATTCATGGTAGATCCCACCATTCACTATGTTATAGTGTTCTGTATGATGATGCTTAAATTCTGAGAGCTCTGCTTTTATGGGCTTAAAACCAAGAGGTCAGACAATGCCCACATTCACTGTGTTTGGCATAAATCAACGATCTTATCCACAACCTACCTTTGTAATAAACCAACCTCTGTTACTTAGAATGAAGGGCATTTTTGTCCTTAAATTAATTCCGTTAATCTCAATGATTTAATGCTTTGACATAGTATATTTTAGTTGTTTTAGAAACCACAAGGTATATTTAAGTAGTTTAGAAAAACCTCAGGGTATATTTAAATAATTAAGCCTTTTAATTTTTTACCAAGTTCATTTTACCATAAAGGACCACAAAAGAGGAACAGCAACAACCAACAAGGTGAGATTTAAACAGAAAAAGGACAGTGATGGCAGAGAATAAATTAAAGGGTAGTGCCAATTGAAAAAGGCTCATGTAGTTCCATGACTATTTTATTTTAATCATATTGGTTTCAGTATTCTATTTTTTAGTCTCTTTTGATGGAAAAAATAGATGAACCAGTCAAAGGGCAAATCAGATCTCACAAAGGTTTAAGACTTTTGAGTAGCTTTTCAAGGTTGCTACAAAATCTCTCATATATGAGAGGTAGGAAGTTATTAGGGTTTTGAAGTTGAAATAGTATAGAAGACTTTTAGATAATTTTAACCCCATCCCAAAGTCAGTTCAATCTGGACGGCTTGCTTAATTCATTGTAATGGAAGAAGATTTGGAGTAATTTAGGCCAAGTCTGGTCATTTTTTAACCTAACCAAGTGATCTTACTTTTTGACATAGGGACCTAAAGAGTGAGTTCATAGGCAACTCAGCATCTCAGCCAAGTCTGAGTTTTCCAACCATGATTCAGACTACTGCATTAGAATCTTGAGCAAAACCAAAATTGGCATAGCATTTTTTATGATTCTCTGGGGAAAACGATAGTCCACTAACTTTAGGAGGCAAAAACAAAATGCTTAAGCAGTTAAGACACCATTGACACAATCACATTATTTTCTTCTCTTCAGGCACTGGGAGGGGGGAGGGGACAAATACCTCAAGGGATTAACAACTAGAATTGTGTGCATGTGAGAGGTGCTTTAGCCTCCTTTCAGGAGTAGAGGTGCATGGTTGTTTGTGCTTTATCCATGGTTTTTCCTCCTCTGTGTGTACCTCTTGTACATTTTGTATTTCTAATGGTAATGGATATCCATTACCAGTAACAAAATATTTATGTTAAAATATCATGCTAATACTTTGGCTTAATTGATTTCTTTATGTGAGTGATTTATATGTTTGCACTATCTATGTTCAATTCTCTCCCCATGCTATTTTTCTTTTTACTGTAAAGGAATAAATTGATGATTGGAATGTAGAAGCCTTATTATCTGATGCAACTTTTGGAAATGACTAAACCTCAGCCTTCAAGGGAGGACAGCATGGGTTGGTCGAGTAAAAAATCTGAACTCTTTACACTAGATTTTGAAGCAAAGAGTTCCATCTAAAGTGATCTTCTTTTTGTGGGTAGCAGGCAGGATTCAAACTATTGATGTCCTACAATCCAAAGGAATGATTCTTATAAACGTTTGCAGTCTGTGGGGTAGCAGAAGAGAATGCTCAGCATACACTTATTTATTGCAATTTTTCTCATGCAGCTTGGACTCATGTTTTGAAGCTTTTTGGTGCCAATTGGGTGGAACCCTAGGTCTGGAAACCATGTTATCTTCTTGGAGGCTGGGGGTCTGTCTTAAACAGGTAAAGTTTTATGGGAAGCTGGCCCCTTTATCTATAAGTTGGGTTGTCTGGAAAGAAAGAGATAGCAGGACTTTCAGAACCAGTCGATGACGGTGGAGAGGATTTATGGCAAAATAGAAAGGATGCTGGTTAAATGGGTCTCCATTGACAGTCTCTCTTGGGGTCTGAAGTGGAATCATTTCTATAGTCATTGGGGCAGCTTCATTTGGAAAGAAAACTTTGCTATGTAATTTGATCCTTAGTACTTTTGCTTCTTCTCAATTGTATTTGAGGGAACCTCTCGTTGTCTGTCATTTTCTTATTAATGAAATACCACCTTTCAAAAACAAGTAAAGGGATAAATTGATTGGTGACCAATGGAAAAACCAGAAGCCTGATATAAGGAAACAGTGGGTGGTTCATTGGGACAAGACAAGAAGAGTTTAAAGATTTGAGCACAGACACAGATGACAATATCAAGAACTGGCAAGCATCAGCTGCCCATTCTAAAAGAAAACCTATTATCTCCATGGATTGGGTGTCACCATCTAGAGGAGCTCTAAAACTGAAATTTGATGGCTATCACATTAGTAATTCGGGAATTCCAGAGGTTAGGAAGAAGTAAGAAATCACAATTGAAAAGTTATCTTGGCAAACTTGAGGCCTATAGGTGTTGGGAATTGAATCAGAGTGGGTCTACTTTCTGTACTGCAAGGACTAAAGCTTTGTTGCTCTTTGAGTCAGTCTAGGATGGAAGTGAAGGGGGCTCTCAGAGGGTGACTAATTGGCATAATGCAGGGGAAGAGCTTCCATGGGCCTATAGGCATGAAATAAGGGAAGCTGAATTATTACAAGCAGGCTGAATCCCTTATTCAGATGGATTAGGAAGACTGATAATTCCTTAGCAAAATCTCCTGCTAGAGATGGGGTTTATGCCCTCCCTTGCCAAAGTCCAAACTTTCAGCCAGCAAGTTGGCTGATCTTTGGATCCAGTCAAAGAAAACGTTTTCTTTTGATACTATTGTTTATCATGAACAGAGAAGTATATATACATACACAACTTTTGGTGAGGTGCAGAGATGAAACATCTGCCAGAAAGTATATTCAATATCCATTTGTTCCCACTGCAAAGGAAGAAAATGATATTTTAAGTTAGTTATAACGAACTAACAGTATCAACCAGAACTAGAGAAGAACAAATCACATATCACTCATTTAAGAATTTAGTTTTTAACATATTCACAAACAAACGTTCAGTTTCTATAATAGGAAACATGTACTTTAAAATGAATTTCCAATGCTAAAATATGCAATATTCCATTTTGACTGCTCAAATCATTAAAAAAATAATAATCTTAAGTGACAGAATAAAGCCAGCATTCAGCAAGTGAACAACAAGTTATAACTCCAAATACTTCAATGAGTGTCAGATATCATAAAAAGCTGTAAAACTTAAATACTTCAATGAAGAAGACATATGAAGATAAAGGTAAATATCCTTGGCCTGGGCTTGCCACCAGTCTAGTCAACGCAAAGCAATCCCAGACCCTTATCACCAATAGAGTACCAATAGATTGCTTTAACTCAAATTCAGTAGTTCTACTCAAGTATTAGAAGTATATATTATTCAGTTTGCTCCTTCCAATTTTTTTCTGCCAGTAAAGTCTAATTTGACAGTACATAGTTAGCAAATTTGGTTCTAGGCACGCGGCGTAGGCCTAAATACTTTATATCTCTTACAGATTTTTAGTTTATTCCATGTTTCCTTATTAAATTTACTGAGTTAAACATTTTTTATAGCCAAAGAATCATTTACTTAGGGATAGGGATGCAACTTGGGTCAGGTTGGGTTGGAAATTTGACAAATATTCAATAGGTCTAAACCCTAACCCAAGGCTGACGTAGTGGAAACTTTTCAAATTGGGTAACATCACTTGCAGACCTACTTAGGGAGGCCAAAACACCTTGGCATTGGTTAGCTTCCCATCCCATCAAGTAATAAGCATGGCTTTTCTTCTGCAAAATCAAGACCAGATATCTCCTCAGCGTTTTTCCTTCTCATCTACCAAATGTTGACAGTCCATATTCCAGTTCATGATAGTCGGCCAAATACTTTTCTATTGAACTTCTTCATTGATAGAAGAGGCCTTTTATATTATTTTTCTACACTAGAAAATAGAAACCAAGTATTGAACTGATGATCTCATGGTTGTGGTGCAGATATATAGCCAAGGCCTCGAGAAAAGGGGGTAAGGTCATATATTCTAAAAAACATCCGTCACAATTCCGTTGCATTTATCAAAAACAAAAATCCGTTGCATTGATCCGCACAAAGAAATAAGCGCACCGCCCAAATTCATCTCCACTGGAATTTGCAGAGTGTCCCACTTTCTCTTTTCGTTAAAAAAAATGTCAAACTAAAATCACTTCAGCTACGCCCTCAAATAGGAAATACTCCGGACGACCCACAAACAAATCTCAAAACTGCCGAATCGTATCAATGAAATCTCAAATCATTCTGGACACAACTAAAATCACTCTTTACTACAATCTAGTAGAATATTGAAACTAGCCGATTAAATCCTCCCACCCCCATATCAGCAACCACCCCAAACGGATCAAGGGGCAGCTCTCAGTTAAGTCGAACAAGTCCACAGTTATGAGAAAGAAATCGAATCTTGACTAAACTGAATTGGAAAATAACGGGAACAAGGGGAAAAAAAAAAATCATCGAACACGAGATCCACGGAATTAGGGGGAAATGAGGAATATAGATTAAGGGATCAGAATACAACCTTGACAATTCGTCGGAGGTACTGAGGGAACACAGGATTCTGGCGCACGTTAGAGTGCGTGCGCCCTTTCGAGACGGTGGGCAGCATGTCGTCTTCTTCTTTCCCGCTCTAGCTTTGATTTCCGTCAGATTTTTCTGTTACCACGCTCTCGATTCGATTTGAGTGGATTACAATTTAGAATTCGGATTCAAAATCGATACGTTTGATGCGTTCGTTTATAAATTCAGTCACCGGGCGATCTCCTCTTCCGTTCTCTCCTCCCTCGCAGAGAAGAGTTTCCCCACTTTGTTGCAAATGACCAACAAACCCAGTGCGAGTCTGTGAGTTTGATTACCCAAATACCCGAATGACCCGGCCTGGGGATCAAAGAGCCCAGTTAGAGAAGTGGCTTGTTAGGTGCATGTCTACTAGACAATTCCTCAATGCTAATGAACAAATGATGTACAAATATTTAAGGCGAGCCGATTTCGAATAGCTAGATATTCGCTTCGGCTCGGCTGGAAGCCAGTCATGCGCTAGTCATTCTTAAATGTATATTTATAAACTTTTTTTTTTAATTTATATTATATTATATAATAAATTTCCTATTATATATATTAACACTTATATATAGTATAATATAATACTAGCGGAGGGGCCTGGGGTTGGAATGGAACCATCGATTTGTTGATCCGTTGACCCGGTTCATGGTAAAAAATCATTGAATCGGTTAATGATTCATTGACTCGAGCAGTTGAACTATCAATTCGTTGATCCATAAAATGGTTTTTGGACTTTTTTTTTTTAATTGGGAACCATCCAGGCAATCAGTTCCGTTTTATCCTAATCTCAGTCCCTGGCCAAAAATCGTTGAATCGATCAATGATCCATTGACCCGGGCAATCGAACCATTGACCCGTTCAATGGTTTTTTGTCGTTTTTTTATTTTTTAATTTTTGTTATCATAATGGGCCATCCGTTCGAACCGAACAGTCGAACTATCAACCCGAAAACTGGTGGCTATAATGATTCCATTTTCAGGTCGTATGAATCACACGCTCGAATGACATAACACGTATGGTACTGCTTAATGGACCTCACACACTCAAATTTTTTCCTGTAATTTTTGTTGTCATAATAGGTTGTACTTTTTTTTTATTGGGAATCGTCCAGGCAACTAGTTTTCGTTTTACCCCAATCTCGGTCCCTGACCAAAACCATTGAATCGGTCAACGACCCATTGACCCAAGTGGTTAAACCATTAACCCGTTGAATGGTTTTTGGCATTTTTTTATTTTTGTTGTCAAAACAGGCCGTATGTTTGAATCGGACAATCGAACCGTCAACCTGATAACCAGTGGCCATAACGGTTCCATTTTCGGGTCGTATGAGTTACACGCTTGAATGACATAACATCATGGTTTTTAAAGCTGACCCAAAAACCAAACCAGTCAGGGGTCCAGTTACCGGGTCGAACGGTCCGACTGTTCGAACTGGATGGTTGAACCGTTAACCCGAAAAACTGGTGGCTAGAACGGTTTCATTTCCAGGTCGTATGAGCCACACGCTCGAATGACATTACATCATGGTTTTTAAAACCGACCTAGAGACCAAACCGGTCAGGGGTCCGGTTACTGGGCCAAACGGTCGGCCATTCTAACAAAAATGTTTGAACAGTTCGATATAATAACTATTATATATTTATATAATTAGATAATTATATAACAATATAATTAGATAATTATCTAACAATTAGGAAATGGGTTGCTCTCACGTGGGAATCTACTCGCACGAGTATATTCCATTTCCTACACGGAGAGGGCATCCCAATGCTATTAATGTATATACTAGCGGAGGGGTTGGAATGGAACCGTCGGCCTATTGATCCATTAGCCCAATCTTTGGCCAAAAATCGTTGAATCGGTCAATGACCCATTGATCTAAGCAGTCGAATTATTGACTAATTAACCTGTCAATGGTTTTTGCTATTTTTTTAATCAGCCATCTAGGCAACCGGTTCCGTTTTATCCTAATCTCGATTCGTAGCAAAAAATCGTTGAATCGATCAACAACCCATTGACCCGTTCAATGGTTTTTGGTCATTTTTTTATTTTTTTTTATTTTTATTATCAGAATGGGCCATCCGTTCGAACTGAACAGTCGAACCGTTGACCCAAAAATTGGTGGCTATAACAGTTTTGTTTTCAATTTGTATAAGTCACACGCTCGAATGACATAACACGTTACACGTATGGTAATGCTTAATGGACCTCACACATTCAATTTTTTGCATGTAATTTTTGTTGTCAGAATGGGTCTTCCATTTTTTTATATTTTTTTTAATTTAAAACTATCTAGGCAACCGGTTGCGTTTTACCCCAATCCTAGTCCCTGGCCAAAAACCATTGAACCGGTCAACGACCCATTGACCTGAGTGGTCGAACCGTCAACCCATTGACCCATTCAATGGTTTTTGGCAGTTTTATTATTTTTTTAGTTTTTGTTGTCAGAATGGGCCATTCGTTCGAACTAGACGATCGAATCGTCGACCCAAAAACCGGTGGCCAAAACAGTTCCATTTTTTGGTCGTATGAGTCACACGCTCGAATGACATAACATGAATGATACTGCTCAGTGGACCTCGCACACTCATTTTATTGCTTGTAATTTTTGTTGTCAGAATGGACTGTCTGTTCAAATCGAACGATCGAACCACTGACTTGAAAACCAGTGGCCAAAATGGTTTCGTAATTTTTTGTCATCAGAACGGGTCGTTTGTTCGAACCAAACGGTCGAACCGTTGATCCAAAAATTGGTGGCCAAAGCGGTTCCGTTTTTCGGGTCATATGAATCACACACTCAAATGACATTAACACATATGATACTACTTACTAGACCTCACAAACTCAATTTTTTGCCATTAATTTTTGTTGTCATAACAGATTCTCTGTTTGAACCGGATGATCAAACCGTTGACCCGAAAATCGGTGGCCATAACGGTTTTGTAATTTTTTGCTTGTCATTTTTGTTGTCAGAACGGGCCATCCGTTCGAACTAAACGGTCGAAGAGTCTATTGTCAGAACGTTATTAACAACATTTATCAATAATAGTAAGTAATTATACTATTTAATTAAATAACCATTAATGATAGTTTTAATAATATTCTTTAGTTATTTTTAATATAACAGTATTTATTAAATTTATGAATAGGATTTATTAACAATATTCATTAAATTAATAATTACCAAAATTAAATTAAATTAATAGTATTTATTAGTAATAGTCAGTAATTATAATATTTTATTAAATAATCAATAACAATACTTTTAATAACATTTTTATTTATTTTGAATATAACAATAATTACTATATTTATTAACAGTATTTATAATTTTAATTTAAAGTAAAATTAAAGTAAATATCTAGTTATTAACAATATTTATAATTTTAATTTAAAGTAAAATTAAAGTAAATATCTAGTTATTAACAATATTTATAATAACAATAATTATTAATTATATATTTATTAAATTATTGTGATAATCAGTAAATATTATTACAGCAATTATATAGTTACACTATTAATTATTGTAATTAATTAGTAATTATTGTTATTAATTAATAATTAATTAATGGAAATGTATTACACTATTAATTACTGTAATTAATTAATAATTAATGTTATTAGTTAGTACTGTAATTAATTAGTAACGAATTACTAGAAATGGGTGCATTGTTATTACACTGTTAATTACTGTAATTAATTAGTAATTTTTGTTATTAATTAATAATTAACTATTGAAAATGGGTGCTCGCACGTGGGATCTATTCGCACGAGTAGATTCCATTTCATGTGTGTAGAGAGCACCCATATCCTTTTAATATATAAGATATAAGATAGTTGGGCAAGTTTGGGGACAAGGTGGACACATACCATCTTCACAAGCCCGGATCTCCTGTCCATGAGAACCTTGCCCACATTTATCGCAACCATACATGGAGAACATCTCATCCTCTGCATAGTATTATGCAGGGGGGAGATGTTCCCAATTCACGAGGGGTGGTGTATTGTGGGTAAGCGTGAGCAAGGTTTTCATGAGCAGGAGATCCGGAGTCTATCTTCACACCGTCCCTAGTGCCCCAGAGTTTCACATTTCCCAAACCCCTAATTAGTGGTAAAAAAACTGCCCTAACCAGAGTAGAGTCCCATAAGGACAAGTCAAATTGTCATCTCTGCATATAATTGTATTTGGATCATTTGTTGGAAGGGTTAACATCATCACACACTTCCATTTGTATTTTGATGAGATGGAACACATTGATGCCTTTGATTTAAAATCAATGGAAAATTGGGCAATTCTCTCTAACTTCAAAAAAAAATTGTTTTGAGAAAATAACATTGTAATTTATAATATATAAAATAAATACTTGCCTTAGTTTATTTTTAATCAGTGCCATAAAATTTAAATTTCAGTATATAATGTTAAGTTGTATCTTTTTCTATTTATTTTTACATGAAATTACTCTTATATTAATATTTAATAAAAAGCAACTTGCAATAATTATTTATCTAGTTGTTTGCTTAATTTATAAAAGGGTTTGACCATAATATTGGAAAACTTATAATCACCAATCGATATTGTGAAAATGTTAACCAATAAGGTGGTATCCCCCAACCCTAAATCAATGGAAAATATAAATACTATGAGAGACATAAGTGATGCATGAGATGGTGTAAAAAGAAGGAAAATTTATGCACGAGCCCCCGAAGAAATATTTACCATCAAAAAGCGATGTACGAGAATTGAAATATCCCCATTTGCAATGGGGATATTAAAACTTAATTCACTCCACTGGCCCACCTACATAAATGCCACATCATCCATATGTTTTGAAATACCTAAAATGCTCATCGAGAAAATGCCACCTTACTCATATTTTGAAATCCCCAAAATGTTCATTTCACATACAAGTAGTAATTTTCCTTTCCTATTCCACCGTTCACTCCCATCTTCATTCCCACCTCCTTTGAACAGTTTGAACACATTCGCCATAAATTCTACAACACATTGCCTCCGATCCTCTTCATCGGCACACATTGATGGAAGTGGAGATCTCCCTCGTCCTCTCGTTGACTCCCATCTTTGTTTCACCTCTATCAAATAGCTTGAAATACAATGCCTTCGCTGGAAAATCTACAACACATTTGATCTTCTTCATTGGCACACACTGACGGAAGTGGAGATATATCCCTTCCTTCCTTTGTTGTGTCTTCTATGTTAGACCCCATTTGGACAACAAGCATAGAAGTGTGAGTTGTTGTAACTCAAAATCAAGGTATTTGAAATTTCTACTGCATAGGGTTTATGCCGAATTTATTTAAAACAT